CTGTATGTTCTTGGTCTTGTTGTTTTCTCATGAGCCTGACTAAACTGGTGAATTACCAGGTAGGTGACAAGGTCCAGAAAGGGCAAGTGGTCTGCATTATTGAGGCTATGAAATTGATGAATGAAATTGAGGTAATTCTGGATTACGATTTCAGTTCCTTAATGTGCAAACTTAGTTTATTGTTGCTTGCAATATATAGCTTCCTAAATAAAAAGGCGAATATGATAGGGTAGAAACATTTATAATCAGATAATTCGTAGTGCGGAACATGTTTAAGTGTTGTACTTTCAGTTTTCCTTTTCTGTTGCATCCATTCTCATGGTAATAGACGGTAGGAATGACTTAAATAGGCAAGTGATGTGTCATAAAGAGGAGCTCTTCTCAACATTTCCCATCTTGGCGAAGTTAGTGGCGAAATTATCCGATTTGCTTAGGCCACTCTCGCACCATGATGTATTAGTCTTAAGTTCCTTTTATACCTACTGCATTTATTTTTTGAATTCTTTATCAGGCTGATCAAGCTGGAACCATAGTTGACATAGTTGCAGAGGATGGTAAGCCCGTTAGTGTGGACACGGTATGTCTCTCTTTCTCTAGTTTATATCTTTAGACTAGTTCGGGTCTACTTGTGCTTTATGTGATGTTCAATCTCTTCTTGCAGCCTCTATTTGTCATTGAACCATGATAGAAAGAAGTAATCTTGGTGTGCAACATAGGTGGATGAAGCAGAGTGAAATTCAAAAGTTATAGAGAGCAAATCTGTCTTAAGCTCAAGGCATATCTGCTCAGAAGATTGGTTCACTATTACTCTTGTTGAAATCTATGATCATATTTATAGCTTGTATTACTCATTTTCCTTATGCTGCTCATAAATTTTGGAACTATATTTTCTTTATAAAGTTGTGACTTGATGATAACCTCTAGTCTACTGTCACCCTGCTATCTTTCTTGCTCTGTCTCAAGTGCTTGATGCTATGAATCTCCAAGGGTTTGGTTCAGCATGTAGTTAGGCACATTCATGAGTTTGAACTCTGCAATGAACAAAGGCTTGATATTTAAGTTGAGAAGTGTAAAGGGATGAGCTTATTCTCCACTGAGTTCTGAACTTTGCATCATATCGGCTTTCGGGAGTTACTCAGTTCTTAAATACCGTGAGCTGAGATATAAGGGTTGCAACATAATTGAACTGGCATTCAGATGTGCAGTTCAAGATCTATTGCCTATCAGCTTTGTCAGTATTTGCATATAGCCTATAGGCAATCAAAGATATGCTAGTATGGAGGCATCCACGTTTTTACTGATGCTTGCTATATCAGTTAACTGCAAAATGTATTTTGTTTATCTTCACGAAGTAATCAGCAGAGTTTATTAGAACTTTGAGAAGGTACAGCTTTAAGTCTGTGAGTACATATGCTATTCGTGGACAAGATACTCAAAAGAAGAAAAGATGACACGAATATGGTTAGTTGTAAGGTGATTGACAGAAGCAAGTTGTTTTTAAGAGGGAATTGAAGTCTATTAACAGAATCTTTGATAGGTAAAGTAGACAAAAAAGCTGAGTAGGCAACTTGACTGTCAAATTTGAGAAAAAGCTGGTTAAAACTGTGTAACTTTCTTATGTCAAAACAGAGGGGTTTATATATATACATATATAAAATGAAATTGATACACTCACCTATACAGAACACCTATTGTTTCTGTTCATAAGTCGATGAAGTACATTTAAGTATGAAAACGGGCTGCCCTTACCAGGTCCACAATAGGGCGTGCAGAGAGAACATGACTGAAATCCAATACACCACTTTTGGCAGTCTCGACAATTAAATGAATGATGGAACAATTATAAGAAGCATACTGTGACGTCCCGCCACAATTCTAGCCAAAATTGAAGTTCGAATGGGGAAAAAGAAGCTAGAGTCTTGAAGAGGTTTGCAGGAAGGCTCTAAAACCTTCCAGTTTTGTGGAGAAGACTAGAGAATTCTCTAGAATACTTTAGAGCTTTGTGGAAGACTTTAGCATATTCTAGACAATGTAGAATTCTCTAAAATATGGACTAAAGTGTAGTTACTAGAAGGACTTGTATAGTAAATTTTATTTACACTAAGGCCCTTAGGATGTAGTATAAATAGGAAGGTCATTCATTCCAACCAAGTAATAGTAATACAAGGTTCTTTTTTCTAAAGTTCTCTTTGCCTTTTCTTAGTCTTTCTTCATATTCTCTTATGAAAGAATCGTGAGTAAGTTGTCAAGTGCCGCACGGAGTCTTAGTTAAACTTCTAACAAATAACAGAAGACTAAGACTAAATAACAAGACATAAATTGAAATATAGTGGAAGTTGGAAGGATAGAGAAACCTGAATTCACGAACAGAACGTTAATATCACCACAATAATAATTGTCTAGTTTTTGCTAAGAGCAATTACAACTTAGAACTGAATAGCCCTATAAAAAGAGCTCAAACTACCAAAAACCTAATCTTTAACTTCATTTAGCTCAGAAACATCATAACAGTGCAAATATTTCAGGACAACATCCACATGTTTGACAGCAATGTTCTTATAAATGAGTTTGTGCCTGAAACAATTCGATCAAATTTTCTTGCTTCCCCGGGGACCAACACCCAAGTAGTTTGTCATGAGACCCATAATACCAAACCTGAGACGATAAAAATAACAAGTTCTGATTAGACACACAATCCAGAAATATGAATGAAAATGTGATAGCTAATAGCAGAACAATCAGTTTGCAATAAATTCTTTTATGCTTCATGAATACTCTCTTTCCATTTCGTTTGATCTAATAACTCTTTAGCCAGTCAAACACACTATTCTTTGGCAACGATTCATTTATCATTTACAATTACAAGACTGATAGAACTAATAATATCTATTTGTTTAGTTTCCAGATCTGTAACATTACCTTACTAATAATTGAGAATCCAATCTACTTTACTACCTTACTCATAACTAACATATAGTATAAAGCATAAACTAGACTACTAGACATTGGGCACAACCATTCTAGAAACTGGCAACGGAAGCAGAGGGTGGTGGTAAGGTGGGTGAAGACGATGCCTTACTACTAAATTGTTTTTTAGACATAAAAAAGAACACATGGGCATATAAAGGCTCATAGGTACTATTTGGTTGCAGGAGAAGGGAAACGAGTAATGCACAATTAACTTCCTACAATTTCTGTTCTTTGGACAGCAAAAAAGGTAAAAGAAACAACACTCCAAAAGTATCTCATTACAAATTAACTCCTACAAAAGTTGCAAATGACCCACACAAGTGAACACTATCTTTTACACCTTTCTGAGACAATATATATTCCTTTAACTCCCAAAATTTGTTGACTAGTTGGGCTTGAGTAATTTTGGAGCAGAGAACAATACAGAGCCACAGTGACAACTCAAACTCATCTTACCACGTTCAATATATTCTTAGGGTTCCTACCTTTATTTATTTTTTTGAAATTATCCTTCTTTTTCTTAATGAAGGAAAATAATTCATCGTTATTGTCTCTTCATCCCATTCCATACAAACCACACATTAATGAAACATTCAAATATCTTTTTTACAGGTATAATTCAAATCACATGCCAATTTTTTTTAGAAGATCAAACGAGACATGAAATATTCTATTAAAAAGTTCTCCCCTTCTTTTAATCTAATCATTGAATGGCTGCTGAATAACTGTGTCGTTGGGTAATTATCATAAAATAAAATTGCATTCCAGAGATCAACCGTTTAAAATAAGGTTAAAATCCATAGGCATACACATAACCATCTACAACTGACATTTTGTAAAATGTAGCTAAATTTACTTCAAACTGATGTGCTCAATGCAAATCCAAGAAACACCCCACTGACCATTCAAAACAAACATATTATTGAAGAATCATTTCATGATATTTTGAAATTAAAATTACTTCCAGGTTTGACACCTTCTTGTATAAATGCAGGAGTAGCAAATAATTACACTGAAAATTGTATTTAGCAAGTAGTGCAATAATAAGAGCATCAATTGAAGCAAGTTCGTACTATTCTTAAAAAACTTAAGACTCTAATAATACTTCTGGTGAGTTCCCTTGGATGGATTTTCCTGATAATATCTCATCCCCTTATACCTTTCAATACATATCAGTATCAGCCAATATTTGTTTATTTCACAATCAAGAACAGGTTCAATCCAAGGAACACAACTTTAGCAAGAGCAGAATCCAAATTTAGAATTTAAATTCCCTTCCACAAACTAGGAGAACATCTCCGAATAATACCTGTAAAGATATATCTAACATACAATAACAACATATATAGCTCTCAATACAATTAATCAAACAGCTGAACTTACATCATGGCCATTGAGATCTGCTTAAGATCATTTTCCATATTCCTCATGTTAGCAAGGGATTGAGCACTGAATATAATAGCAAGCCACGAGCAAATCTTGTACTACAAAACAGATAAGAGTAAATGATGCTGAGCATACAATTATGTAAATTAACTTTCCACCAAACATAATCGACATATGCACATGAGATCTAATCAGTACAAATACAGATAAGAGCAGTGGATCTCGTGAATTAACAGCCCAAAGCTTTGTATGTACCTAACTCGATTCCCCAAAAAATTAAATCCAGGATATTCCTTCGTTCTGGATGGGAATTAAGAGCGGGTTTTCCAATATAATTTTATAGATAAAATCCTCAATATGACCAAATTAGATAAAAATTGTCGAGTATAGGTACAAAAATATACAGAATTTAGAAGGCTACGCACTCTAAACATGGCACCAAAGACGCCGCAGATGACGGCTATGAAGCCGGAGTAATCTATAGGAAGATCTTGTGGAGCGACCGGCGAAGGCTTGTACGGCTTTGCCGTCGACGGTTGCCGTGGATCGTTCGCTGGTGACGACATGGCTGCTGTAGTTTCTGCTCCGAAAATGAATTTGGATCCGAACCAGAAAATGCCTTAGAAATAGTAAGTGGTCATTTCTGAATAAACCCCTCGAATATGTAAATTTTGCACATGGCCCAAAAAGCTTGAACAACTTGCAATTAGACCCCGTGTTGGATATTATAAACAGGGATGTAAGTGCTCACTTTCTAAACCTTAGGGGCTAAATCGATCGCTATTACACTTCACGCAAGTTTACTCGTCATTGGTTTTTTTCAGCTACTACCCAGCAGTAGTACTATTCCGGTCACAGCAATGGAGTCCAAAGTCCTCCCAATTACTCCGGCGCCGTTTCCGTCACTTTCTGCCTTTACGGCTTCCTCCGATGAAGCCACGAACTGGAATATTCAAAGTCCGGCTGCAAAATCGCCGGCGCCACCAACAACGCCATCGACGCCGTCATCCTTTCAAGATATACGGCGATGGAGACCAGCGGCGCAACGAAACCTGAGAAACCAGTGGTCGAAGTTGTCTTCTCTTCGAACGCAATGGCTTTCTTTATCCTCCACTGCTCGATCACACGCCACTTATGTTGTAAATTCTTATCTCTCCCAAAGGTAAACTTCAAACAGCTGCTTAAGTTTAGTTACATAGAAAATACAACTCCTTTTTGTTTCAATTCGTTTATCTTGTTTCCTTTTTAGTCGGTTTTAAAAATATTGCATCTTTCCTTTTTATGGACAACTCTTTAACTCTAACTTCGGGTGGTGACATGTTTTAAGACCAAAGATTAACATTTTGATCCATTCTGAATATGTTTAGTTCAAGATTGTAAAATTAAAAGTCTTTTTTACAGCAAACAAATTGAAAAGGAGGTAGTATGGATCACAATGGCTTTAGTTAAAACATCTCTAAAATCATTGAAAATTTTGATGAAAAAAAAAACTATCGTGACTTTCCAAATAATAATATCCATGTTTTAGCGTGAGATAGTATTGAAGAGAATATGTGGATTTGTGTTGTTGTCAATGTGATTTCTTTTATGAAAATGCCTAACTCAACTGACTACACAACTCGTACCCTCAACTAGAGTAAGACTTTAAAGAATTTCTTATATTGAATAATCCGTGATTCAGAATGACATCCATTGGAGTTTGGTGCAGATATATGGATGCAATGGAGTTAGGTGTATTGACAGAGATGCCTGATATACGTAAAAAAGCACGTAGGAAATTGTTCAAGCAGCAGGTGATTATAGAAATTGCCTTTTTATCCTTTTGGCTTTTTGGATTCAATTTGAATTGTCCCTGAAGTTGGTTATTGGCACACTATATAATGTTGATTGAGAAAATATACAACAAAACCACATATTGTGGAGTGAGACAGATCTTCATTGCCTGATGCTCTATCTTTACGTGATGCCCCTCAGTGTATCCTATCCTCCTAATGACGTAGGGAACCAATTGAATTTGAACGTATCGACAATAAATCAGCACCTTTCGACCAAAAAGAATTTCTGAATGGTTTTTGTTGCTGAATTAATGTTGTTTGGTTGCTTGTTAAGTCTAATTGAGGTTATAATATTTTCTCATTGCACCTCAGAGGTTTTCCCCATTATTTAATTGATCAAATATATGCTGGAAAAGAGTGTAAAAGTAGAATGGAAAACCCATCTCTGTTTGATGACGAAATCAAACTGTACTCTGAACAATTTCTCACAGTTGTCATCATTTTTCAGGAGGCTAATAGGAGTAAGCTCTTGTCATCTTACAAAGATATGGTATGCACACTATATATTTGCGCATTCACTTCATAAATGTATCTGTGATTAGCTTACTACTTTGACTAACCTGGTAACATTATTTTGTCAAATAGATGAATTTTCTACTGTGGTTTTCTTTTCTGCTTCTTAAAACCTGATTATCATTTTTGTTATTAAAACATCTGAACGTGTCTGTATATCCCTCGTCATGCTTAGTATCTTCTTTAATTGTTCAGGATTCTCGAAATGCTTTTTTTTACAAGGGAAACCCGCAACCTCTACCCTTAGGGTGTGCACAGGATAAAAACCCCTCGTTATTGCAAACCACATAGGAGAGCTAACCCGCACTAGGCAAGCCCGGTGCGACGAGCTCGACCAAGAAGGCAAACCCCTTGTGGCAAGGGGTTTCGAACTTGAGATACCCAACATGGAAGTCCCAAGCCCGAACCACTGGGCACCCCAATTTCATTCTATAACTGTGTTACTTTAAAATGCTCCCTATTTTGTTCAACCCTTTCCTATGTTCGGAAGGGAAACATCCCTAAATAAAAAATAGGGGAGTAAATAGACATGTATGGCTTGTCAACAGTTTGAATGACTAATTTTGATCAGGACAATTTGAATGACTAATTAAGCACACTGTTACTTTCATAATCCCCAAGTATCTGGAAGGCCAGTGGCTGTATTAAGTATTTCTAGGTGAAGAACATCTCTATTTTTGTTTAGTTTCTGGCACAAGTTCCTTTCATGCTATTTGTAGTAAAACAACAAATAGATATGTTGGAGTTTTTATCTGCATTTGTCTTCCATGCTTAACTGTTCTTGTTTGACATACTGAATTGCATTTATCTCATATCATCCAACATCCTTGATCTCACACTCTTATAACCTATAGTTATATGACTATCCATTACTTTATGTTATTTTCCAATAAAACACTATTTTACTAATTTGACAAAATTATATAAGCAAACTTTTTGTTGGTTCAAAAAGTTTTAGCTAATAAGAGAAACTATTTACTGTCTAATAGGACATATATTGCTAGGTGTTGGTTTAAAGTTAAAGTGGCATAAGATTTGGTTGCTTGGAAAGCTGGGTTAAAAGTACTTATAGTCAGGGTGCAAAAATCAAGAGTGAATCAGGAGATACATAGGTTGTTTGCATGATGTCATTCACTCATTGACAAAAACCAATCCACAAGTGGTTTATCTCCTAGACTTGGTTCTTGATTTCTGCTTCTATCAGCTCTTGTTTAGGTGTGGATCTTATTCCGCCCCGTGTCTGTATTGAAGCTATGACCTTTTAGCAGACTGGGATACTGGATGCGACATTTTTACCTTCTCGACTCAAGTGCCTTCAACAGAATTACCGTGACTTTTTTATTGCCTGACTGTTTAGCTGTCTACAGGTTGCTGTTGTAACTCAGATGGTCAATGTTTCTAAATCAATGAGGTGTTATCTCAAAGGAGCAAGTGGCACCCCACTTACTGAGTTTTCTTGCTTCCCTGGACACCTGAATGACACTGGTGATTGTGATGGGATTCCTGTTTTCACCTTTTGGTCAATCTTTGATTTCGGTATGTGTTTTCCTTGCAAGTTGCTGACTGTCCTCACTGATCAAAATTTCTGCAGAGATTATCAATGTTTTGTTAAAAGGCTATCATATGCTAATTCATAGTGTGAGTTAATCAATGACTATTAAATTTATATATACTTAGTTAGTAGTACAAGGTCATCACAGAGTCCAGTATACCATTACTTATTAAATGAAAAGAAGATTGTGCGCTGGGACAAGAGAGGATTGGTCAAGTGGAAAGCACCCTCCGCTCCAATATTTCAACAATTCAAGTCACCAAGAGAGCAAAGTGGGGAAGGATCACTGTTACTCCTGGGAGGTTATTTGGGGGTTTAGGGAAGGTACACATAGGTTACCAGTCCCCCTCCCCCCCCCCCCCCCCCCCAAAAAAAAAAAAAAGAAGAAAAAGAAGGGGATCCAGTGTTGGTTGTACATCTTTCTGCAACGTACATGTGCTACTCCATCTAATAACTCCCTACAACTTTGAAGTATTGCCACAGAGATGCCTAGCTTTTATAGGATGATTAGCGGAGGATTGGCTGGATGCCTTATGGATATTGTTTAGAGAAAAATATCACCGAGTTAATGATAAAGTGACACTGATTGCATTAGACGATGCAACAATTATTTTTAATAACCAAAAGGAGTTCAACATTGGCTTCCTGTTGTTATTATACAGAGTAATTTACTTTTCTTTTTATCTATATATCTGCTTCATATTTAAGAATTACAATTTGCCTCTCTAATGATTTCAGAGAAACTGGCAGAGGAGCTGGTCCAGATGTTTGTGTCAGAAACAAATCTAAAGGTGTTTTTCTCATCTTCTCAGCCACAGTGAGGCATTTTTCACTTTATTCGTAAAATCATCTATCTATTTGTATTTCCTTCTTTAAAGTTGAGTGATGTGCAGCGGTTGCTAGTGATGGAACTATGCTCCATTGGTTCCGAGAATTTTTCACAAGTTGACAGGCTAAAATGGAGTGATCATTTCTATGTTGGAGAGTTTGATGATCTACGCATATGTGACTCAAACTCAAACGAGGTTCTTAAGCAACTCGAGCCCAAGGTAGAGAGCTGCAATTCTCAGTCTACCACCATGCAATCAAATAGTCAACTTGAGAGGAACGTTCTCCAGGTATTGTGTCACCTGTTGTATATGAAGTTATATGTTTAGGAATAAATTTGTGTGCCTACTCCTATATATGTATCTATAGCTGTTAGAATTATTAGCAAACTGAGGTGCATCCCAAGTGCTTCCAAAGACCCTAGTTGATTGTAAGATACATCAGTTTCACTTTGGGAAAAGCCCCTCAACTAGCACATTGAGTTGCATATCTTTAATTATAATTGTACCTGGACTAACTTTAGTGCTATTTTTAGCATCTTGTACAGATGCGTAAGATATAAATATCATTAGGTCTTTTTTAACCCCAAAAAGGAAGTAGCATATTATAATTGCTCTAGTGGTACCAACAATAAATATGTATATCCCATATAATTTCTGAAGGTCTTACTTCTAATACATAAAATTCCTTTTGGTTAAATGCTCACCTTTTGAATTTTCTTCTTGAGCTTTCAGTGTTTTCTAGTAAGAAAAGCTTTTCGCTTGAGCATAGAGGCCTTTTTGGCACCAAATTTTTCTTGAATCAGGTAGCAATATTGGTTCACTGGAAATATTATTTCTCTGCAACTTATATTTTTTCCCTTCAAGTTTTTGCTCATTAAATCATGTTTGTTTTTCAAGTTCATGACAATGAATCATGTTTTGTTGTCAAGGAAATAGTTTTATAATAGTGGAGTGCAACATGTAAACATGATTCATTTTAGGTGAAAAGGTCTTTTACGGCTAGATCTCTAGGAAGAGTCATGATTAAAGTTTAAGATATTCTCCAAGGAAATACTACAACACGAGGTTCCTGTTAGTATTATGAAATTGGTTTCGGTTGTAGAGAACTATATCTTTGTGTTAAGACTCTACTTTTTGTGTACTACTTATAACATGGCCTTCCACTAGATACAAGTAAATTACTCCTATATGAAAAAAAATCTTCAAAGAAATGAGCCCCGGGGGCTTTGGGTTAGAGGTAAGAGCACAACACGTGATGTGTGGATTAGAGGCATGTCATGGGTAAGAAATCTGCCGTAGACAAAAGCACGGTATTTACATGAATGATAAAAAAACATATGTGAGACGTTGAAGCTGGTCAACAAAGATTTTGGAAATTCCATTGTTTATGATCATATTAGAAAGATCTATCATTGTCTTATTGGATGGAAAAATTACAAACCTTCTAGTGGTGCTTCCACGTCCTTTTATTCTGTACTAATTGAATATGTGACTTGTAGGTTTACTTAACAACCTGGCTCACAGAGGTCAATGTCGATAGATTCAGGTAAATTGGTTCTGTGGGACTTTCGAGTTTTTCAATCCTTGATACTGAAGCTACTTCTGCATTTCTTGGCTTCTATTAATATATTGGAGTTAACAAGTCATGCAATGTATTGCTTCCCCTCGAATGAGATTTTTACTATCATTTGTAATAGTAGTTTTTCCTTGACAGGATAGGTGAATTACTTGCTATGGTAGGTGAGGAGATGCATGTTACCATATCATGAAGCCACAACTACACATAGGTAAACAATGGTGAACAAACGCTTGAAATTCTCTATTGTTGCATATTTCCAAGATTGAAACCCGAAGAAGGCATTGGACTGTGACATTGTCTGGGCTCAACCATATGCCTAAAGAGGCATTGAGTTGATCATCAAGCTTCTAAGATGTTTATCTTCAAACTTCAAAACAATGCTGATGAATCTATTGACCTGAACAGGGCGGAATGGATACAAAGGATTCACATGATGACCCCAACTAAATTGAGGTTGAGGTGTATAAAAACTAACTTAAATTGGGTTTTAGATGGTGAAGTCTTCCAGGAGGAGCTATCCAACTTACAAACAAGAGTACTGCTGCTTTCCAGGCATAACCGCAATATGGTTACTAAATACTGTCTTTGTTTGTCAAAGCAACCAGCGGATGAAGTGGCACATCAGTACATTTAGTAATATGAAAGTGAAGAGGCTGGCCCTAGCAAGAACAGCTGACTGGCTGTTCTATTAACTTTGTTTCTCTTTCTTTTGGAATGGGAGTAGAGATGCTATATACATAAATCTGTTTTCCATAATTTTACCATTTGCATCAGAATTTATATTAACATCAGAAGAAGATCTGGACAGATGGTCTTAATTTCACAAAGCGTTTTGCTTTATAAGTGTTAATACTCTTTTGAAGATGGATCTCATGAAATACCTTGCCTTCCACTGAGCTAATATAGTTTATAGAAAGGCATTGAAGACAAGAGACTTGATTCTATCATGTGGGCTAAACAGTAGATTATGGAAGAGCAGTTCTTACAGCAGAAAGTCGAGTGGAATTGCTCAAGTCAAGATATGGCTTCCATATATAACAACAAACAAAAAATATGTGCTTGAAAGTTGCAAATCTCTAAATTTGAGCAAACAAATACTAGGTAAAACCATAGCTACTAATGATAATTATGATCCAAACTTTATAGTTATTTATGAAATTTCCTCTTATATAGATGAACTCTTCTACATCTACAGATTTTGAAAAACAAATTATTTTGTCAAATAATCCGTATTACTATTATACTTTACCCCGTCTATGGGTTCTTTTACCCTAGATAAAACGCATGCAAGTTTTTAAAAAAAAATATGCATAGCCTTCGCACATTTTTTGGTATATACCATGACAATCGACAAAGTTGGGGAAAACTCACGGTGGGCGATGCTCGTCTTTCTAGATTATATAAAGTAATGTTATATTTTAAGAAAAATATTTAAATATAAAATGTGTGAATCCATATTTAAAGTATCATATAATAATAATACGATAATGATTGGACGCATCTCTCTAAATGAGGTTAGAAACTAAAATAATATATCTATCTCGTCTTTTTAGTAGCACCTCTCAAGTGGCTATCGGTTATACTTTTGTCGTTTCAACTAATTTTTCTTTTGTTCTTTTCCTCAAATTTTTCAAAAATCTCAAGTGTATTCCATTGAAAATTCTTAAAAAATTTAGCACAGTAGATTTTTTATATATAATTAAATCAAATGTGAGCATTAAAATTTAAAACTAGTATTGTATATTTTGCACTTATAATTTTTAATATATAATTAAATTTTAAAACTAGTAGTATTATATATTTTGCACCTTTAAATCTTAAAGTTCAATGAGCTATATTAAGAACTTAAAAAGTAAAATTGATCAAATTTGTATTTAAGATACATTTTCTTCATTTTGCCGAAATCCTGATACGCTATATCCTTGGTTTATAGAGAGTAACCGTAGAAAGTAAAAACTATACCCTCTGTTGAACTAATACCTAAATCTCTTCATAGTTTCTATGCGAATCTTTACATAACCTTAAGAACACAAGCATTTGATGAACTTTCTAATTCGAGTTTCAACCTTTTTACTGGACTGTCAAACCTATACCAGAGGGAATTTACTACAATTAAATCACATATCAAACCAAGCAATTAGCTTATTCCCAGCAAGAGAAGCAATGGTGACGAGAAAATACGGCCTGGTTGGATGGAGAGGGTACGAGAGGAACCCTCGGAAAAGAAGGGATGTTTAGACAAGATATTCTTGGTTTGCTCTATTCTTTTTATCTCCCTATAAATTGTATGTTTGTAACTTCTGGTCATACATAGCCTAGGGGATCTAATCTTACTTCTCGAAGCAAGCTACTTTAACTTCCAAAGGAGCGGGCAACTCAAGTTAGACGAGATGCAGGGTTGTAGTTTCAAAGAGGCTCGACCAGACCCATCCCAAAACAAGTTGCAGAAATCTGCGCAGCAGTTGCACATTAAGAACCATATAAGGGAAATTATTAAATATTATGCCTGCTTAAGAGCACCTTTTCCAACTAACTGATGTTCTAAACAATCTGGACAGCTTGGCCTGTTTCCAGTTGTTAACTCTATAAACTACAAATTGGTTGATGATCCACCAACTGAATATTAGCCTTCATCAAAAAATAAGAGGCACCAACAAAATCAATTATGAGCGCCTGGGCATCTCTTATACATAATGATGGCCAACTGTATGTCAACAGCTTAGAAGCACAGAAGTATGTATTCTCTCCCCACTTCTGGCAAAAAATGATGGGGCACCCTAGTTTCACCTCCCCTCACTAAGTTTGAAGAGATGTACATGTATATTTTCTTGATAATGACATAAATGGCCTACATGCAAAAGATTGGACAGCTACGTTCCATCTGAGATGACAATTGAGTATGTTCAGCAATACTGATTGTGTGGTTCTATTTTGCTCTTGCTAGAACTAGTACATGACTAGGACAAAAATGTCTACGGGAAGTTGAGGTAATTGATGACAGAGCACAGAAAAGATTCAATTGATTTGTGATTATAGAGAAAGACAGTGCACCCCACTAGGCAGATCTTTTGGTATTGGAAGCGCTGTGACGTATCTCTGAGGAATACCATCATATTGCGCCCGACCAAGAAACCTAGCATACCGATTAATAACGCCGAACTTCTCTTGGTCTTGCCCATCCACTGTCACATCTAATACCGATGCTCTCTTGTCCAGTCTGATCAGAGAAGGAACAAATTAGAAAGCAAACAAAACTAATCAAGCAGAATTAACATATCTTTTTCAGGTAAAAAAGGAAGCTAGTAAAGCAGACAGTATTAATATAATATAATGGGAAGTGTAAAACTGAAACATCAAAAGATAAAATGAATGTCCAAAAACTAATAGCAAGTCAAATGACAGTAGACATTTAAGACTTGAGAAGTGTGGATTTCCTAATAAAAAATCCAAGTTTATACGTAACCAACCAGTAAGTACAGTTAGCACTTTGCCCTCATTTTCTAATGGAGTGAAAGATCATGGTTTAAGACCTATCATCAGCTGTATATATTTTTAGAGGTGCAAAATCAGAAGCAAAAGCGCCATCACAGTTCAAAGTAAACCTTGAATTTCTGAAATTGTTCTTTGTAAATCTTAGATTTACATATCCATCATTAAAATTTAGCACTACATGTAGTATCTACATAATTAACAAATTAAGCTTTATTTAGTAACTAGTTTCAGTATACATGGGTGTATTGCGTCAACTAAAAAGATTGTATATAAGAAAAGTGAATTATGTAAAAATAGAAAATGACACTAAGTAGATGCAACTTCATTAATTGAAAAGAAATGTTACCATATTAGTTAGATCAATAAAGGAGAAGAAATCATGACATACAGAACCTCCAACATATTATGCAAGCACTAATAGGACGAAATGCTATAATTAAATATTGACAAAGAACATAAATTCGAACAACACAAACATTTGACCCCAATAGTCAACCTATAGCTTCTTCCTTTGCGTCTCATAAGAATGTTATAATTCAATATCAATATCAATTTTTATATATATATATATATATATATATATATATATGAAGTCTATTGACAAAGAGGTAAATTGTGTCAAACTAAGGAAAGAAAAGATACAAGGAAAATTCTTATTTCTTTCTTTAGTCTTTCATCAAATCATATTTCTAATAACTTATCCAAACATTTGACCCCAATAGTCAACCTATAGCTTCTTCCTTTGCGTCTCATAAGAATGTTATAATTCAATATCAATATCAATTTATATTTATATATATATATATATACACACACACACATATATATATATACATATATACATATATATATATATATATATGTGTGTGTGTCAAACTAAGGAAAGAAAAGATACAAGGAAAATTCTTATTTCTTTCTTTGGTCTTTCATCAAATCATATTTCTAATAACTTATCCAATTATAATGTATCAATTGCTAATGCAGGGACAGACCACTATTAATAGGTAATCTCAATGTAAGAATAAATATACAATTTAGCTCAAATACATTAAATTGACAAGAGTTGACCGCGCAGGGCAAGTGGTAAGAATAAATATACAATTAGCTCAAATACATTAAATTGACAAGAGTTGACCATGCAGGGAAAGTGATTAACGAGCAGGCTACCTTAGCTGATGCGAGTCAACAATACTCAATCTTAGGTCCAACACAATTGAAGTTGAGGTCAAGAGATTCAATTCAAATTATAATTCTTTTGAACATCAATATTTTATAATGTTTTAAATGAATTTAATGTTATTAGAGAGATACTACAAAAAATAAAATATTTAGCAATGTTTACTAATTATACGAATAGAGTAATAATAAATATCCATATTAGGAAAGGGGTTGAGACTATTAATATTCAGTGTTTATACCCAAATTAGCAGCTTATTAGAAGATGCATTCTTTAGATATGATGTGACTTTTTAAATTGGACTCAACAAATCTTAATTTTAAACCAAAACTAAACTAATATAAAATAAATCATAAATAACTCAGACGTAAGATACTTAAAAAGCAAATTAAATGTGAAGCAGGAAATAAGGAAAACTTTTGTTCAAGTAAAACTCTTGCATGATCATAAATTTCTAAATAATAGGAGTTCTTACTTAGTTCAAATAAGGAATGATTTAATATCAAATTTTAGTTGATCTCAAAGTCCTAAGTATTAGGGTTATAATTAAATTACTATTTTATCAAGTGTGAGATCAAATTTAAGGGGTTAAAAAGATGAACAAAATTTTGTTATCTGCCTTCATGCTTTTCAATATCGCTTTGCACATGAACCCTATATTAATGAATATATTTGAAAAAACTCATAAATATATTGAACTATGTATTGTGCTATAAAATAAACTTAAATCAAATGAAAAAGTTTAAGTTCCTTAAAAATGATGAATGTTAATTCCATTTAGGTAGTCAATTTAGCTCAAGTATCCATATCAATGACTGCACAATTTCTTTTAAGTTACATTAGTATCACTATCAAAAACAATGTATTTGACTTTAAAACAAAAATTTAAAATATAGATCGATGAAATTCAAAAAGAAAAAGATTAAGAAAAAAGTGTAAGTTTACCAAAAATAATGAATGATATTCCTATTTAGCTAGCTCAATGAAAAAAAATATGGTATTACTTAATAAATAACATTAACCAACAGCTCACTTTGCATCATGAAATATAATTTGTAGAATTAGCATGTGCACCCACATGGACATTAGCTCATTTCAAGTATCGAATTTAAAATATTATTTACCATTGCATCTCACAAAAATTGCTCTTTTGCAAAATTAGTTATCACTTGTTTGTATGCCCCCTCTAATTATTATTTTCTATAATAC